TCGTAGAGTATTGATTCAAATCTATAAATAGGTGATGGATGGATCAATACATGGTGTCAAATTTATGTTACAAATATATGATAAACTTTTTTCATTCCATAAGAAAGTTAAATTATTTCTTCTTCCATACTCATTTTTTCCTCCTTGTGTTCTTGAAGTTTTGGAGAAAAACACATGTGCTTAAGTGTATTATTCTCTACAAGGCTTGATTAATCCTACAAATCGTTTGTCGCGAGATCCTTTAAGCACCAAAATTGTTACCAAGAAGGGGCAAATATCGTTTGAGGACAACGATATAATGTTGTGTTTGAGCCTTTCATATTTGATTTGTTCTTCACATTTATTTCATCTTCTTGATATCACTTCTATGTCGTTTCTTCTCCAACCCGGGTGGCGATAATTTTTCCAACAGAGGTCTCTCCCCATTGTATCTCTCAACAACATTATTTGCAATTTCTTCTTAATTTTTCTTGGAAATTCCTCTCCATTTCAGGGTGAACAACTTGTAGAGGAAGAGAGGTGCTTTTGCTGTTACCACTGTTGAAATGCAGTTCACAAGTATTCTATGTGGGCACGTCATCTATTTGTCTCATCTTTTGATGCTGTGACTCTAAGAAAAAAATCCGGATGAGGGAAAAATAAAGGCTAAAATGAGAAGCCGCAATGTTAAGACATGAGACAAATAGATAATGTGCCAACATGAAATACGTGGGAGCTGCATATTTCACTTCTTCACCAACACCAAGGTGGGAATGTGATGTCTATGGAAGTGAGACGACTTTGTTGGCTTTCTCTTTTCTTTATTATTATTATTTTTTTTTAATTTCTTTTCTTTTATGTTCTTTTGTCTGTTTTGAAGTAAACAGAATAATAAGTGGAGGAAATTAACACTAAAAAAAATTATCAATTACATTTCTCGAGGCAATGTGCCCGGATCGCTTGCTGACTCAGTGGGCTGGTTCGTGAAAGTTTGGCTTATGGATGGCTTGTCTTGCTTCATCATAGTCAATACCATCGTCATACAAGATATTCATCTATCCCCAGTTGGATAAACATATCTTCTTGTTTTATTCAGGGTCTTGTATGCTATTTGTAACATATGAGATTAAAATCAAAGAGTTATATTGAGGATAAATATTTTGTAGGTCATGGGCATCCATAACTATGATATTTATAACATTCCTCATTGAATACTTACTGCACAACGAATATGTTTTGTTAAAACCTTATTAAGAAAAATCTGACGAGAAAAATTCATAGTAAAAGTTTTTTTTGAATATGATACAAAAGCTGCCCCATTTATAATCTCGTAGGAAAATTAAATAAATGGGACAAAGCCTTGATATACGAAAAGAGTACAATAAGTATTTGCTCTCCATCACGATAATATATATATAATCTCTTGCTCCCAGTGAACATGATAAAAATTTCTCACTGTTGATGTGATAAAAAGTTTTTATCCTACCTACTGTCAAATGGAAAGTGTCATTTTTCTATAAGAAATCATTTCAAGACTTTTTCTGTATAAGTATTCGTGAACAAAGATTCGATTGGCTAATGCGCAGGACTACGTAAAAAAAAAAAAAAAAAAAATTC